TAATAAATTCTCCGATTTTACTCGCCAGTGTGTGAGTTGGAAGCTACGTATAAGTTTAGCACAGATATATTTTCACTCGCTGAACACTCTGACTGAGCGCTTCAGAGTTTCACTCTCCGTCAAGCGATCTGTGCTATTTTTCAGTTCACCTCAATGGATGCGGAGGTGCTCGCACCTGCATTTGACATACTGTAAACTCTAGTGTAACAGTCGCTTTGGTGAGAGCAGAGAGAGAGCGAGAGAGTCTGCCGGGTTTTCCGGTAGTGGGCGGAACTAATGCGCAAACGGCAATCCCATTGGCTGGTGCTCACCTATTAGCGTCCCTGCGAACGCACACAACCTGATTAATATTCATGAATCCAGCAGCTCTTAACCCATAGTGAGTTTTATACTGTTATTATTAGTAGAATTCGTATTATTATTATTATTATTATTATCGTCATCATCTTATCAGTATTTGTAGTTTTTTTCCCATCTTTTTTTTTTTACAGAAACACTGAATGACCAAAAAAGCACCACCACCAATCCTACATTCAGTTAAAATGTCTGTGTGAAAACAGCTGTGTGAAACCCTGTTCCTGCATGATTTTGGACCCTTTCTACAGCATGATATGAATATATTATGGTTATGAATTACTGTTAAGATATATTTTATATACTTTTTGAAGCCTCCAAATATATACATATATTTGATATATACTTTATATTTACATTTAGTCATTTAGCAGACACTTTTATCCAAAGCGGTAACAAAGTTCGTAGTCATGGGAAGAAAGAGGCAGGAACCGGCGAACATTTAAACAAAACTTTAATAATAAAAAAACACAAAACTGAAAATAGCACAACAGCCCCTCACGGACGACTGCTGCGCACAAACAGAACCAATCAACATAAATAATCCAGGCTTGGTGCTCTCTCGTCCAACACTGTCGTCACTCCTCCTTTTATCCTTCCGGAGCTCCTCCGTGGGACTCGAGACCGGTGAGTGGCGCCGGTGTCGTGCATTATCACTTACTCAACCGGCCTCGCTCCGTTCCCACGGCTCTCCGCCCCGCCCCGCCCCACTCATCACAGTGATTTCGTGCCTCTTTGAGATGGCACAATAATGCTTCGTTCACTTGCGTCGTTCACTTGCTTCTAGAGGGCACATAACTCTGAAGTAATGAATTTAGATAAAGGGGTGCAGATCTGATCTTCCTAATGGTGTATAAAGCAAATCTGCAGCTTTAGCAATGTGGTCTGAGAAATTCAGCTTATCATCGATCACAACTCCAAGGTTTCTAGCTGTTTTTGAAGGAGTTATGGTTGAGGAGCCTAACTGGATGGTGAAATTTTGATAAAGTGATGGGTTTGTTGAAACCACAAGCAGTTCTGTCTTAGCCAG